TCTAATAACAAATTCTTTCACTATCAATTTACTGCAGAAGGTTCTTCTTTTCCCCTCTAAGCTGCCCCTCCTAGTGACTCTCACCCCTGTATTAATTCATAGGCATAACCAGCAACTGATCTCACCAGCTCAGCTAATTGTCTTACGTTTATCTCACATACAGCTCACAGGTTACTTGTAGAATGACATTCGTGCACGTGTGCACACACACGCACAAACACCCCTCAATTTACTAGAATGGTTTTGGGTTTCCTCTGATTATCAGTTTGCATGCCAGTTTCTTTTTACTGGATTTGCTTTTCAGATGTATCATAGGATCCGCCACTCGGAGTGCATCTACCGGGTCACGATGGAGAAGCTGTCCTATCACAGCATCTGTACCGCCGAGGAGTGGCAGGGACTCATGCGCTTCACTCTCCCCATGAGGCTCTGCAAGGAAGTCGAACTGTGAGCCTTCTGCTTTGTCACTTTCCTCAGGAACAGGTTTTTAACGGGTTGAACTTGAGTGAAATGGCTTACAGAATTAGGGTCACAGAGGTCCTATTACATGCAGGTAGTTTCAGGTCTTGTCATTTCTCCCTTCTGAAATGATTCCAAACTTAAGACAGAACCAGGAAGTAAACACCAGACGTCTTTACGTGAAAAGAGAAATCGGAACTCAGTTTTGAAATACGTTAACCTAAGTGTTCCCTAGTGTATCAGTGTATTGCATATTTTATACCATGTAATATGTAATGTTTGAAATGGCATTTAATATAAGACATCTAAGTCTTCATTTTCATTTAAATTTCCAAATTAAATTTGAGAATTTAAAGATGAGTTTCAGTTTGCACACCTTGTTTTTCAATCCTCTGCTAATGTATTTAAGTTACTGGTAGTAGGACCTGTGACCATTTGTTCGCTCATTATAAGTGTAAGCTAACATTAATTCAGTTACATAGAAAATCTTCAGAAGTGGCCCATAGCTGGTACTTTCCTTACAAGTGGAAATATAGTATATACTTTACCATTCTGTTTATTCTGGGTGAATGTTAGTAACTAAATTAGTACATGAAAAATAGGTAATAATTTTGGGTGTTTATAATTTTTTCTCTGGGTTTAAATAGGAGATAAAGTAATTTTCAACTCTGAAAAACACTTTTGATAAGAGTTTTTTCCCTTTAGTTATGAGTCATACAATATATGTGTAGTATCCATGACAACATAAATTATTTTGTACTTTTTAATTTCTCTGATAACAGCTGCAGCATCCTTTGTACAGGTTGTTTAATAGAAAAATTAAGCATTGACTTAAATATTGGACGACATTCCTAAGAGAGTGTGTAGAATTCTCTCTGGACACCTTTAAATCAAAGAGAGGTGTGTCTGGGGAGGCAGGAACGGGATGCTGGGCCTCCCGGCATCTTCGTAGCTTAGTTACTTTCTTTACTTATTGTGTATTTATCCTAATTGCATTTAGTAACAGACTGACTTCTTCTGATTTCAGATTCCACTTTGACATTGGTCCTTTTGAAAACATGTGGCCTGGAATTTTTGTCCATATGATCCATCAGTCCTGTGGGATAGCCTGGTATGGATTACCTAAACACTCCTTTTTTAAATATTGAGTTCAGGTGACCTCTTCCACTCCTTATCCGTACTCCTTGCCCCCTTCATGTTCATAATTATCTTAAAGTATGGCATATACAAATTATTTTTTCTAAATATGTAAATAAAATGGGCTGATGTTGTTGGGACATCCAGAGCCTCTTCACACGTCCATTATAGGCTGCTGAGTTCTCTGGCAATAAGGCTGCACCTTGGCCAACAACGAGGGATCTAATTGGGCTACCGTAAAAATATAGGTTAAAAGTACTTTATGCTCGTGAAACTAAGTGACAGGGTAACTGCTCAGTGTAGTTACATACTTCAGAAGAGAGTGTTCTGGAGTGTTGTTGTTGTTAGGTGCCATTGAGTCAGTTTTAACTCCTAGAGACCATGTGACAAAGTAGAACTTCCCCATAGGGTTTCCTAGGCTGTAATCTTTATGGGAACAGATTGCCAGGTCTTTCTCCTGCTGAAGTAAATTTTCATCTTACATTACATTCAGCTTACCTACATAAAATAGGTGTAAGAGAAATAAGCCTCCTAATTCAAAATCTAGTACTTGGTCAGTAATTTAATTATGTACCATTTCATTGTAAAGTCTTTTCCTGTTCACTTTGGCCTGTTGTAGACACATTTCTTTATGTCTGCTCTTCTGTAGCTTAAACACATACTTAAAAAGGCAGGGAATAGTTTTCTTTTTCTCTTTTTGACTCATGTAGGCATTAAATGGCTTAAAGAGGAGCACTGCTAAATTCTGTGCCTTCCCTTAT